CAACTAACCACTAACCCCAAAATTTAGTTGCATTCTTTTGGTTATAAATATAGTGTTGAGTTACTGTTGAATAGTAATTTGATTGTAGTTACCCAATACAGGTAGTTTTACTAACAGTAGTTTTTCTTCTTTACTGTAATTACAATGTAATTACATGGTAATACGGTAGTAATTTCCTTTTTCCCTTGTAATTCATGTTAATAAGGTAGTAATTACGTTTAATTACATTTTTATTACCTTGTAATTACATGGTATTAAGGTAGTAATTAAATTTAATTACATTTGTATTACCTTGTAATTACATGGTAATAAGTGGTCCATCAAAGAAAGCGTTACCATTTAACCGGTGTTTTGTTAAAACACGGTGGTGATGCAGAAWAGCAAATTGTTTGCAGAATTATTCACATTCTGCTGAAGTTTTCGGGACGTCGATTCAAATCAAGAAAATTAAGAGATTCTGAACAGTCTGTRTGAAAACACAGTGTTTATGAAGATGATCTTATCATCATAACAGATAATTGCCTGTATGTATGTCTTATAATAACTTTCATAATAACAAACAGACTACAGGGAAGACATTTCATCTTTCTGTGCTTTTTAATTTTAGTGTTAATTTATGTAAAATATTAATTAAGCAGCATGCTTGAAAATAGGCTTATTGATGAAATATCAGCTTTTTTGTTGTTTTTATAGCTGGTATTTAGTAACTTGTTTGACACGATTTGTTGGTCGACTGCATTCAGAATTAGTTTTAGTATCAGCATTATTAGGCCTGTTCAGCAGCACTCTTGGGTCCAAACACTGAATTTGTGACTTTCCCACCATGGTAGCATCTTTCCCTTTTTAAAACATAATTTCTCTCTTGGTTAGTGAATTGAAATAACGTCAGTCATACCAGAAAAGTATCCAGGATTCAATCTGTTTGTTCACATCCTGTTGAACTTTTGCTTCAACAAAAGCAAAGCTTGATTTTCCTGGAAGTGGGTAAAGGCTTTTTTTCAACATAACAGACATTTATTTCATGTTTTCCAGTATCTTTAATCTAAAAAAAGCAACCAAGTTGATTTGTAGGCACAAACCTGTTTTTTTGTTATTAACAAAATGTTAAACTGGTATGAACCTACATTTCTGCAGCAACAAACTCCATATTGAAAGGCACAGTTTGTAGGATTTTGTGAAGTCTTTTAGCCGAAATTGAGATAATCACTAATGACAATAATAAAAAACATGTCTAATCATTGCAGACAAAGACCTTGTTTTATTATTTTTACCTTACAAAAAGCTGTTTATATCTCCATGGTCGCAGGTCGCCACTATTGGCAGCCGCCATCTTGTCTATGAAGGCTCATGAAGGACAAACTGCGGTGGCGGTGTCAAAAACGGTTTTAGTTGTAAAACTATAAATGTAATATTTGTTGTCTGTCATTGTAGCTGGATAATTTTACTTATTAAAGCTCATAATCTTACCACTTGAAACATCACTAGCCCTGAAGCTGCTGGTAGACATCGCGGTTGGAATTATCAAAGGTTTTTGACACCTGAGAGACACCGTAGAAACTCCTTTGTGTTTGGAAGCGGGGGGTGGGGGGAGGACCAGGAAGGATGATTCAACCACTCAACCATAGATGTCGCTGAAAACAACAAATCCTTCACACTGTGCCTTTAATGTGAATAAAGTTTTTTTTATTGTAGCTATTTAGTAAAAAAAATCAATAAAGCTAATGTAAAGAAGTATGGTTGTTGTCAGTGGTTAACAAATGTAAATATATTTAGTTTAAAGATATAATAAGTTATTTTTCTATTTATTTCATGTATTAATTATTTTTTGACCTGCCCTCATGACTTTGCATTGAGGGCCTTTTTTGAAAAATTTCTTAGCATACCTGAAATTACCCCACAGTCCAGAAAGGCTTTTCATTTTATTCTTCTGTTCCGAAGAAATGCCATTTATGATGGTCTTATTATGCTTCAAATGTCCCCATTAAAGTTTTAAAGCTGCACCGCTGAGCCGCCTGCTCTCACACCTACAGATGGACTGATGCTCTTCTGCTGCTCACCAATGTTCTGGAACATTTTACAAGAAAAGGGCGCCGGCTTTAAGCCATGTGTTTTTGTAATTTTAATGTGCATAGTGGAGTACAATCCTCCTGCTGCAGTCAGGATTTATGCATCTAATTTTATCAGAGTGGAGGTGGTTTGTGTGGAATGACTGAACTAAACCTGCGAGGAGCCAAACTCTACAATACGACTGGTGATGATGTTTTAATAGATGCTCAGGGCTGAGTGAGACAACTTTTGGTAAAGTTTGCACGAAACAGAGGACAGTTGATTCTCAAGTGATGTAACAACTTGTGGATCACATGATCAAATCACCATATTGTTAAGGGAAGAGGCTAGTCTTGTTTACGCAGCATCTTCCGTATCTTTCTCTTTTTTTTTTCAAGCAATAATGGCAGGGGCGGAGCCAGGGGTGGCCATGGCTATCACAAACAAATCTTTGACCACCCCATTGGCCACCCTGCTGTACACACCCCTTACACAGTCAAACAACCTTTAGGGGTGTAATAATCCTCCTGACAGTTGGTGGCAGTGTTGAACAGTTTGAAACATTACCAAGCTCAAAGAAGTGACAAAGAAGTGATTGTTTTTTTTTAAATACAGAACATGTATGCTTATGTTATCTGACTATGATGACAAATGTTTTTTTGTCACCATAACACAGTGTCATTTTATGTTTAAGTTTAATGAAGAATCTGTCTCTGAAATAATTATTAAATCAAGTGTTTATTTATGTAGGTAAAAGTATGTTAAACAACCTGGTAAAATGCACCAAAATGCTGGAAAGAGCATCTTTGTTCAAAATTTCTGATGAAAATGGTTCTGATGCCCATGTTTATAAGGTAGTCACTGCCGGTATAAGGACATAAGGAAATGACCAAAACACAAAGGTCTGCAGACAACTTTTAAGTAAAAATCATGTAATTTTCCCGGCCACCCCTGTGTGAGTAGTGGTTCCCGTCTGGCCACCCCTGAGAAAAATATCTGGCTCCGCCACTGGATAATAGTGCAAGTTTGTGTTGTAACTGGTTGCATCATGAGGCAATGAAACTTTTATATATTTTTTAAATCCAGACGATTGTAAAACACCAAGAAGAAGCAGCTGAAGCACATCATCAAAGCCACGTGGCCCTCTGGGACCAACGAGAATCCACCGCAAAATACTTTCCCTCAATCCCAGAGTTCCAGAGAGCGCTCAGACCACTTCAGACAGTGAGTGACTGCATGACATGTTGTTTTTCTTAAATAGATGGAGGACCATCAATGAACATTACCAGTTAATGCGTTTGATTTAGGAATAAATACTGGATATAATTTTTCCATATTTAATTATAAAAGTGTGCTAAATTGGAATCTGTAAACTATTTTAATATTATTTACATTCTGAGAAAAATATAAATTTATGATGTGTATATAATTTATTTATATGAACTTGCCAAACTAAACAGACCTAAACAGACAGTGTTAAAATTCATCTTATCTCCATTTAGTTTTTTTTCCTGGAATAAAAATCCACATCTGTTGCAAACGTTGCCTTTTCTATGAAAYATTACAGGTGACGAAAGACTGAAAGTAAATTAATTCTATCATCAAGCGCTTTAGTAAAATGCTACATGCTAAATGCTAAAAACAAAGAAAGCCCTCCCTACAGTATTTATTTTGGCAGATATGCATTTGACCTGATGGTAATGATTGGGTAGTGACCCCCCCCCCCC